CATGCAGGGACTCCAGCTCGGCCCAAAACTTCACTCTATCAGAGGGAGAGTTAGGACCATACACACCAGTGAGGATCCAGCTGAATCTATCTTTAGTATTTGTGAACAGAACCAAGATTGAGAATTCACCTTTGTCAATCTCCAAACCTGAAATTTCATCTTCCTTCCATCCTAGGATGATACCTCCAGTGGATCCCTCAGCTGGAACAGCAGTCCAATTTCTACCCCTTATTCCCCATATGGCTTTCATAAGTTTTCTATCGATGACTTCTTTTTTTGATTCCTGAAGGACAATTATGTCTGGATTTTCTCTCTTCAATGTTTCTTTCACTAAGCTTCTTTTGAGCTGACCACCCAAACCCCTGACATTCCAGTTTAATACCTTCATTGAGTCACTTTAACAGAATTCCCCTTGTTCATCCTATTTCCCTTTGAGATGCGATCCATTAGACCCCACCAAAGCCTTTTTAGTTCTCCCCACAACAATTCCCCTCACTTACAATTGTGTCCAAAATAAAGTCTCCCCACCCCTTGTTTGGCTAAAGTGTCAACTAAGGAATTAGCACATCGTTTAATCCAATTGAAAGAGACTTCCGTCTTTTGTCAACAATCTGAATTTCTTTTCTTTGTTGTAAATCGATAGCTTCAACTCCTCACTTTGTATCCAGCTCACTACCAATTTCAAATCACCCTCAATAATCAAGTTCCCAATGTTCAATTCTTACACCCTTTGTACACCTTCCAGCAAAGCCAATACTTTTGCTCTAAGGGAGTCTCCCTCCCTAGACAATCCTGATTATAGAGCTATTATCTTGCCCTCCTCATCTCCAAAGACACTACCAATACCTAACATTATTGGGTTTCCTGTGCTGCTGCCATCAAAGTTAAGTTTGATGGACCCTCTTTCCGGTGGAGACCATTGGTAATTGGAGATAATCTTGGTTGAGCAAGATTCAGTCACTTCCTTTCACTTTTTGAGTAAATCATCCATTGACACATTTGAAAAGGTATCCAAGGATTTCAACTAATGTGCCACTCTAATCATAATTGTCTTCAACATGTCTTCCTTGCTTCTCTCCTTCTCTAGAAAAATTCTAGGATTACTTTCTTACCAAATTGTTGCCACTCTTATACACCTCCACATGAGTCTTCCCCTTTTCTTTGGCCCTATAAGGGTAGTTGGAGAAAATAGGCTTTGAACATCTGCTGGCGGATTCCATCTACACTCAAATAAGGAGAAAGACATTCCCAAATAAAAGCAATGAAAGAATAGGAGATAAATAGGTGATAGCAGCTTTCACCATTATCCTTAAACAAAGTACACTAGCGAAGAGATAAACACCACTTTGGTTGTTTTCTTTTAAGTAAAGCACAAGTTTTAATCTTTTCATAGACAACTTCCCAACAAAAAATACCAATTCTAGGAGGAATAGGCTTACACCATACCTCCTTAACTGGAAAAGAAGGCAAAGAACTAGAGAGAGGCTAGGACAAGGCTTTGAAAAAGCACAACAAAATGCCTGAAGTGGTACAAGTCAAAATTCGGTTATTTGACTTAGAAGGACCAAGAAAGTCTTCTTCCGACTATTGAAGTAGTTACACTCTAGAGTTTAAAATCTCTTTTACCCCTCTAAAAGCCCAAATCCCAATTAAAGCCATTACTTGAGTTTGAAGGAATCAAGAGTTTAGAGATGGGCTTATTTTTAGTACAAGTGTGTGTAAAAAGTGAGGGCAATTGTTCTTCAAAGGGGAAGACCCTTAACCAAACATGTTCCCAAAATTTAATCTAAGTACCACTACAAAGATTATATTAAAATATTTATTGATTTCAATTTTATATATTATATTATATATAAATTTATATATAATAAATTCAGTATGTTATATTTACATTAATTTATTATATATACAAGTTGAAAAGTAACTAACTTTTTATTTTGCGAAGTCACATTAAATCCGAATCCGATCCGAGTCCATTAGGATTTGAATTCAAATCCGATAGGATTCAGATGCAAGTTTTCAATAATCAGATCAGATTAGGATTCTGCCAAATCTGATCCAATTACAGCCCTAAATCTCATGTACCGTTGTGAATTATGTTTGGATGGTTTTGTGCATTCTCTTTGGGTGCAGGTGGGAGGCTCCTCAAGTTGTGGCAAGGTTATTTACCCAAATTTTTTGAGACAGCCTAAAAATTAAGATAGGGTTTTCAGGATTAACCCTCTCCTTAATAGTACATCCTTTGTCAGGCACTTCCACAAAGCAGCTGTCCAAACCAAGAATGGGACTTTAGAGGGAACAGAGGAATCCCGGACCACTTTGCATGGGAAAGAAGGATTCATGATGGAACCACCAAGATACTTTACAAAGAAATAATAAACTGAGAAGCAACCATCCTGACCACTTCTTATCTGCTTCATTTACATCAATGAATACTTTGCTCTAATGGAACAGACGTAGGAGACTGTGAATAGAAGGTAATTCATGGATGGTTATCAATTGGATTAGAGTGAAGATAGATGGCTCTTGGCTATCATGCATTATGCATATCATCAAAAAGACCAAAGCCTTGGTTCCCAAAGTGAACACCTCATTCAGGTAAGCAAACCTCACCAAATGAGAAAAAAAAAACAAGGGAAACCCTTTGACTGACCCACTCAGCGTCCACTCTGGATCTCCTACCCAAGAGACACTATTTCCATGTATTGGAAACATCTCCACATGAATGACAAGGGAGATATTCCCAATGCACACCTGTAATGTCCTGCAGGTAGGGATGTGGGAAGAGTTTGTGGGCAGGAAACCTGAGCTCCTCCCCAAAAAAAGACCACCAACTAGAAAGGTATTGTTGCCCTGATACATCTCACTCATAGGCAAATCTTATATGCCAGTTGAATAAGATTTTCACACTGGCTTTGAAGCATCTAACTTATCAAATAACATGCCACAAGGACTAAGGCACATCCCTCCATACTAATACATTCTTTTTTTTATCAGTAACTTGAACTTTTATTGCTTGTAACGATAATGTTACAGAAGAAATGTACATTTTTTTTTGAGGAAAAGGTAGCTTATTGTATTGTAGTAATCCACAATGACTTATAATATGAGTTTATAATGGAAGTAATGTTCACTATCTTATCATTCTCTGCTTGTTTTTTAAGCCATGAGAGCTTAGAAAATGTATGGCTATCCTATTTGCTCCTATCTAATTCAGCTATTTAACAAGACCAACTTAGGAGAATAAAAAAGCAATAGTAAAATAAATATTCTTAAGAATTAAAACTACATGTTAGCATTACTTTTTCTAGTGGCATCAATTTTGTCCACAGCATCATTGGCCCCAAGGACATGTCTCCAGACTGCATTTAACCAAAACCAAAAAACTATCTCAGTGAATCTACTTAGGTATTTAAGATGATGAGTAATTAAACAATCATGGGTTCATAAAAATTATATCATGAAAGTCAACATAAACAGGAGATTTGAAATTAATACAGTTACTCATAATGGAATAGACATATAAACTTACATATGCCCCCCCCCCCTACTAAGATCAAGTGAAGCAACAACATTCTCCTCTATTGAGACAACAACACGCTTCCCACCAGCATTTTGAGCATGGAACACTGCGTGCTTTACTTTTCCAATGTACTGATGATGCCTGTAAACCCAAATCAACGATGTAATGCATCTATACTAAACAAGCTTTATAAAAATTTAAGGTGCACGATATATTCACAGCAGAAAAGGGAAACGATGAAAGAAATTCTTAAAAAACAATGAATGAACTTTCGTTAACTAACAAAGATTGAACTTGGCCACAAATTCTCCTGAATGCAATAGAGAAATCGGAAGTACAGAGCTCGAAAGCTCTGAAATTTTTTCAGAAATTAAAAAAAAAAAAAAAACTATCAATTGGGATGGATTATAAATAGAAAACAGTTCAGAAAATGAATAACAGGAAAAAAATCAATTGACGAGAGGGGTGATAGAAGACGAACCAATCAGCAAGCCCTACTTGATCTTCATATAAGGCAGAGCTAAGTATTGCAGAGAGGAGGAGTAACGTAACAAGCAGAAAAGCCCTGACCGCCATTGATACGTTGATTTTACTCTCAGTCTCCCAGACAATGGGGAGCCAGATCTGAATGAAGAGAGGAAAGTCTACATGTTAACGGAACAGCAAAAGCTTGACACTTTGACAGTGGACGTCCGGTGAATGAAGGACAGCGTGATAGTTAGTACGCACACTGTGATGTAGGGACCGAGTGCGAACCGACGACGGCTCCAGATTTCTGGAGTCAACTGATAAATTATCTGGTACTACTATTTACAACTTAGCACCGTAGCCCCATTAGCTGATATGTATTCTGGACCTCGTCGATTAGTTAAAGACAGCTGATTATCAATTGATTGCAATTGTTTAATCGGTTTTGTTTTCTAGATTTATTCAACTTACGTAAAATGATTTTTAAGAACTAAAAATAAGTTGTAATATATATATATATAAATTAAATATAAACATAGGTTTAAAAAATTTTGGTAATTTTTAGATTTTGTTAAGGTTGGCATCCGCCCCCCACATACTTGCCCCCGGAATAGGACGAGTGTCATGACACACGCGCATTAAGCGAAATCTGTGCGAAATTCATTTCACGCCGTGAATGCACCTCTGTTAATTCCTCTCTTGCACAAAAATGTTTCTTCTCCATACTCCATTCTACTTCGAACTGAAATTCTTGGCGCCCGCCCCCTTTCGTAACCCACTCACCGGAGATTAATCCGGTCGATTTCCGCCGGCCGACGCCAACGGCTATACCGACAGGAGATAAGTATTTTGTAAGTTTTTCTCATTTTTTATATATACTTTTTTGTTTTTCTCATTCATTTTCTAACATTTACAGATCTGAACCCACTGGCGTAGGAGCCCCCTGATGCCGTTTCAAACCCTTGACACCCCCGGAATTTGAAAGCCCTCGAAAATTCCAACATTCGCTTATCTTCCTTTTGCGGTTAAAATGGCCCAAAGGCAGAGTTTTTAACTGCAAAAAGAGGCAAGTGAGGCAAATGCAGCCTAAGACTTAAAAAATTTTATCTTTGCTGAAACCAACTACCTCTTCCGAGAGAGATATCGTTGCAGATAATAATAAAGAAAGACAGAATATTGACAAAAAAAAAACTTTAATATTTTATGAGAAAATACATGACAATCATTACAAAGGCATTTGTCGCAATAGATCACTCGTCGGACAGAGAGGCCATGAGGCCACAGCAGTGCCCCATATTGGAAGTTCGAAGAAAGATTGCTTCAAGCCTTCATCAGACGCCTTGCACATAGCCTCCGCCACATCACATAGGTTCGCAAGATTCTGAATAATAGCTTCTTGGGCTTCCGCCTGCATGTAAAATTTGCAATACAATTGAAAGTTTAAAATTTCCCAAAAAGAAAAAGGATGTTTCAGAAAATCGATGTTTTTTGTTTGCTCCCACCGGGTTTAGGTTTTTTCTATTTTGTGGAGTCTCGTTTAAGAGCTTAAGAACTGCCGAACAATGAGAGAGAGAGGGATAACATACATTTCAAAACTTTTCCCTAGATAGAGAAATATGGAAAGAGTACCTGTAATAAGAGGTCGTCGATCGATGGCTAGCAAACGGAACCTGAGGTCTGCAACGACTGCAAAGGAAATTCAACAGAAGTTTGTTGCTGTTGTTGTTGGTGGGTCCTTTTCTCCATCTCCTGTAACATGTTTGACAAGCGTTCCCAGTGGTCGATCTCTTTCTGGTACTGATCTCTCAGCTTCAGCAGCGTTCTCTTCTTCCGCTCCCTCCGCTGCCTCTGCTAATTTTGTCTTCTCCAGCGGGTTCAGATCTGTGAATGTTAGAAAACGAATGAGAAAAAACAAAAGAATATATAAGAAATGAGAAAAACTTATAGAGTACTTACCTCCTGCCGGTATGAATATCAGTATCGGCCGGCGGAATTCGACCGGATTAATCTTTGGTGAGTGGGTTACAAAAGGGGCCGACGCCAAGGGTTTCCGTAAGTACAATGGAAGAGTATGGGAGAAGAAACGCATTTGGGCAAGAGAGAAATCAACGGAGGTGTATTCACGACGTAGAGTTTTCAGAAAAAAAGCGAAACTCCTCTTGCAAAAGATGTTATTGAAAAGAGATTGGATAACATTCAACTAAAAAAATATTCATTGCCAACTCTTAAATTCGGGTAGGGATTTACTACCAATAAAACATTCTCAACATTATTCCAACATGCCACAGCAACCAAACATTGAGAATATCTCTTTAATAATTCATGAGGAGTTAGTTCTTGTCTCCCCGATGATCTGCAACTGTCATGGCCAGTTCGAATAGTGTTTTGAGCATTTGTTTGTTCTTAGCATATCTTTTTATTTTTCTTTGATAAAAATGTTCGTAGCAGCAGATCTAAACTCCTTAACATGCCATAAGGTTGAATAAAACATCCAACAACCAATCACATTTAAACCTCGTACTACGCAAAGGCCTCCAACATTACTAAATATCGCACCTTTTCCTCCGTACCATCAAAATCAGTAGTAACGATTTCCCACCTTCACATAGGGATGATCATGGGCTGGGTCGGGCTGGGATTTGCACTTATAATAAGGGCTATAGTTTAGGTTTAGGCCCGGGCCTGATTCCAAGTCAATGTCATTCATATATAAAATATTATATATCTATAATATTTTATATTAAATAACATAATATGTATATAAACTTATTTTATACATTATATAATATATAATTTTACATATAATATAAATTATATATGTCATGTTATAATATTTATATATAAAATATATAATATAATGTAAAATAACATGTATATATATGTATAATTATACATAAAATATGTAAGTTTAAATATATGCGGGTCAGATCAGGCTTGAAGTATTAAGCCCAAGCCTAGTCCTAAAATTTGCGGGCCTGAACACAAAACCCAGGCCCAAGCCCGGAATTTTCAGGCCGGGCTGAAATGATCACCCCTACTTCACACCCTTCTTAATTGCATTGGGATACGAACCACCATCTTGAAACTTGAAAGAAAAGGTTGGCCTACCTTTCCTTACCTTTTCTTTCAAATTAAACACATTCTTTCTTTTTTCTTGCATTGCATGCATGAAATTTTTTTGGGAGAATGACTGTTCAGCCTAGGGTCAGAATAAAAATTAAAATTAATAAAAGTAATAATATGACAAAATAAACTTAACATTTATACTAAATGTGCACTTGCAGAAATTTTAAATTATAATTATTGTTGTTGTTGTTGTTGTTACTAAATTTTGTGCTCTATTTATGTCTTAAATAAAAATAATTTTTATTTTAATAATTATTTTTATTTAATATGATGATTATATAACATTAGAAATGCTCTGAAATGTCTTTAACAAAACTCTATGCTTTTTTATTTTCTGTGTTCGATCTTTTTTTAAATATTTATTATTCAATTATGACATCATGAATTTCTTTGAAAAATTATATCATTGACCCATCATTTAGATAAGAAAATAGCTTTACTTTCGGATCACATTTAAATTATATATTTAATCTACATTATATAAATAATTTTTATTTATCACACTTAATCTTTGTTTGACATAATTAATATATATTTTGTTATATATTATTTTGATTACTTGTACTTTTTTACTGCTTTTTAAATATTTATTATTTAATTGTCATATCATCGATTAATCCATTTGACCTAACCCACGACCCAAAAAAAAGTTTGATTTGTAGGTTGACATTAAATTTTGTATTATATTTTCATTATTGATAAAATTATATCTTATGTATAATATTTATTTTTGTTTAATATAATGAATGTATAATATTATAGATGTATGCAATATATATTCTATTTTTATAAATACATAACATTATATCTTATGTACAACATTTAATTTTGTGATTCTTTATATTTTCTATTTTAAAAAAAAAAATAATATTTGACAATGACATCACTTCATTTTTATGTTGATTTTAAATTTGGTGTTCCATTTTCATCACTTATAAAAATACTTCTTATATTTTATACTTATTTTTGTTCAGTATAATTAATATACAACATTAGTGACATGCTCAATTCTTTTTTGTATTATATTTTATATATTTTGCTTATTATTATTTAAATATGGTATTATTTATTAACGCTTTGACCGCAAATGGTTGAATTGCATACCCACCACCAAGAGGGAAGAAAATGGTTTTGTTTTCAAATTATTTTTTCAAACTATTTATTTTTATATTATTAAAATTAATGGTGTGGATTTAATCAGTAGAATTTAATAATAAGAAAAAATATATCTTAAATATAGGATTTAATAAAAGAATATACCTTAGATATGATATTTGATGAGACATAATAGGACAATAGTTTTACTTTCAATTGGTTTTAAATTTTATCCATTTCCATCATTAATAAAAAATATTTCTTATTTATCATCAAAGTTTTCAACCTGTTGTTAACCTGGCCAATTGAACCGTTCGAACCGTTACTCAGCCTTGATCCTGGGTTTGGTTTTGTTGAAACTCCCCCTTTTGGTTAAAACCCATCTAACCCAGGCGGTTCAACCATTGCCCCGTTCTACCCAATAAACAGGTTGTAGGGCACTTAATTATGTACAAACTTTTGGAAGCCATAACTTTGCACTCCAATGTCTGATCAAGGTTATCTTTTTTTTTTGAGTGAATTTTCAAGATCTATACATCCCAAGGGCCTTAAGTGCCTTGTCTTGCTATTTTCGCAAAAAAAAAATTGCCCCATGCAAATTGCAATTTTAATATTTTTATAAATAAAAAATTAAAACCTGAATTAAAAAACATAAATAAATGTAACATAATACATATATTATATATAATATATGTAAAACATAATTATAAAATATACGTAAAATGTAACTATAATAATGTAAAATATAATTATACTATTTATTGATAAAATATGTATTTTTACACAAACACATATACTGTTGACGCAAAGCGGTTTGACTCGTTTGACCTTGATAGTTGAACCGATGACATGTACCTGAAGGAAAAAGTGGGTTGGCCTCCAAGTTGTTTTTTAAAACATTGTTTATCATACTTATTATTGTTTAATATGTCAAATATATGATGTTAAAAATGTTCTCATTTTTTAATCTCTATATTTTTTGCATTTTATATATTTTTGAATTTTATTATTTAATTATGGCAACATGGATTGGCCCATTTGACTCAAATGGTTTAATTTCTTACCACCACCTAGATGAAAGCACTATTTTTTTCTACCTAGATATTAAAAGTATAAGTTTTTATGTTATTGAAATTATTAATTTATTATGTATGGATTTAATTATAGAATTTAATGATGAGAAAAAACAAAAAAAAGCCTTAAATATATGATTCAATGAAGGTCAATGCAAATTAATACATTAAATGTTGGATTTAATGAGCATTTAATATTTTAAAATTACCTCTTTTCAACTCATTTAATATCAATAACCAACTACCATATTTGTCATCTTTTTTATCATTAAATTTAAATATAGAAGGATAAGTTTTATTCTCAAAAAAATTTAAAAATATTCTTGAGGTTATTTATGCTTTTTAAAATAATATAAATAAAAGTTTAGGTGCAATACGAAGCCCATCCTAATGCTACTCTTACTCAATCGTACTTAACTTTAGAGTTCTAATGAGATATAATGCATTAGTACTGATATACTTGCACCCCAAACATATTCTTAAAATATGTATTTAGGACCATGATTTAGTGTTATAACTTTTTCGACATTAATTTGAATTTTCAACTGTATCCATAGACCATAGTCCAGATATATCCTAAGTTTTCCATCATATATCCATGCATATTCTAATAGTCACTTGTGATTACTTTTCTTACATTTAATTATGTTTCCAATACTTTAAAACCTTGCTTAGAATCACAAAATTTATCAACATAAGTTCTTTCAAAGCATGCCAAATGCAACCTTTATATAGACATAATTATTCAAACACAACTACCAATACATGAAAACATGATCAATCATGCATCTCAATTAATGACGTGGCAACTTATCATTGGTTAAAAAGGATTCAAATCCAACGGGCGCCTACTGAACTTAAAATAAAAAAGATCTCTTGAACATACACTGTACACGTCTACGAATGACAACGTGGAAGAACAGTTCACAGCTGGTGGTCCAACGAGTCTCCAAGTGTTGTCGTTTTCATGCTCTATCATTCACGGGATAACATACGATTCAGCCCATCTACTCCCTCATTTGACAACAACGCGCCTATTTCTCTTATCTCCCTGGTATTGGTATATATGGAAAAAAGAATTGATTTGAGTGCGATGTATGTAAAATCTCTTGATCCCCTAGGGTTGTATTGGCCCAATCCATACCTGGTACATGTGGGACCCACTTGATATAGATGTGTGGTGATTGGCCTAATATTACAATCAAAACTTTAAAAGATTGGGATTCATATGACAAATCTGGACGTAGCGTATCTAAGTAACAACCAACGAGAGCGGGCTCGTTTAGCTGGTTTCTTCCGGCGTTGACGCGGATTCAAATCCCGCAATCAAAATACCCTAAATTAAATAATCCAATTCGCCACAATTATTTATTTTGGGTTTGAATTGAACATCTATAATTACCTTTCCTAACAATAACTTAGGCTTTCATTTTCATAAAAACAAAAGTGTTTTTAATCAAAAAAAAATATCTTATTTGATGGAGGTAGATTTGGCCCAACCCCTTGGCTGTACGATACGTGGAAGAAGACAAGATGCCCTGACAGGAACGTCAATTCGACACGATAACTTAGCACGGCCGTATCCCGAAGAGAGGCCCGAACTCCCGAGCTCCCCAAAGAGAGGCCCGAGTTCCTGAGCTCCCCAAAAGGAAACACGAGCTCTCCCTAAAGGATCCCGAGGGTAACAGCGAAGCCCGCGAGGGGCAAAACCGGGGCCAGCCCACCTCGAGCCAATTCGGATCATGTGCCAGCACTTCGGGACAGTAGGATCTGCTCATCCGAGCTCAAGACTTCACCTCGCACACCACTCCGGCACCTCGGCTCCAGGTCGCGCAACTGTGAAACTATATCTGACATCCGTACTCTGAGACAACACGCCTGACTGATCTGGGTCTGGCAGACGACAATCACGTCGTAACGGCCACCTGCCACCGCCATTTCAGTCATGGCAGAGGCGGCCCTGACAGAGAGGACAGTGGCGGTTATACCTGCCCCCCCGCAGAGGCGGTTATGCCTGACTTAGCAAAAATTTGGGAGTAAGTGCACTAGGTGGCTATAAGAGGCCTTCTTTCCCCAAGA